TATACTAGATATACCAATATCCTGCACAAAATCAATCTGCGCCCGGAAATCACTGCGCAGTCCCCGGGTATGAAAAACCAACAGGAGTCAGTAACAGAGACAAACTACGGCTCGTTCACCTCTCAAGTGTATCAAGTTTAGCTGCATGGTCGCCCTCCTCCTTTTTCCAAGACAATTAAAAGAAGTTTTCAATTGCCCATATGTAAACTCCCTCTACGAGTCTGCACTCTATAACTAACCTACTTGGCTTTTTGGACAATTGCTGGCCTGGTACCACCACCACAAGAATACAATGCGGCTGCTGATAAACCTGGTTGTTGGTCGTGTTCTCACTCGAGACACGGCGGAGTTCCGGCATGCGGGGCAGTGGGTAGCTGTAGTCCGGTGCACATTCTCTGGAACAGCACGGTATTCTTACCAACAGCGGCGTATACATTCCTTAAGCCCTCTCCAGGTAATACGTCATCTGGTGAGTATTTTTATCGCTTCTTTCCTGTTGGCACTGAAGAAACAAGTCTACAGTAGACACTAACTCGGTGAGAAGGGACTTCGATCTCAGTGCTGTTGTCGCGATCGTTGAGGAACACAATTACCCATTCAAGAGAGTCAATCAATTTGTGGCTCGACGAGAGGAGGGTATCAACAGTATCGCTCGCCTCGTCCCCAAACACTTCTTATGGCCAAGATGGAGCTACACCATGTGACCATCACATTCAGCATCACAAGTTCTTGATCCATCAAAAGCAGAAACTGTGCTTTCGGCATATAAGCCTCAGATCACATATGTCATCAGATCTGCAAAGAATTCCATGGCTAAATAATAATACTGTTATTGAATAGGTGGTGAGAAAGTAAGGTTATGTAGTAGCCAGCAATGTGGCTCTGCTTCGGTGATTTTACAAGACATTGAGTCTTCAACGCCGAATCATTTTCTGTTTTCTTTTTCCTCTGCCAAACATCCATTATGCCCGCAACATCATCTCTCAGGGTGCGGCTTATTCGTCATCGTCGCCAGTGAGATCCAGCACAGATCTGCCGTCCGGCATCTTCACCTCCTCATACTTCCTCTTTATCGGGATGCATAACTCCGGTTCACCCTTCTTTACCTTTCCAGGGGCTAAGTTGTGTAAGTAACCCCGTTTTGAATCGTTCTGCTTGTACTTACGATTGGCACTGTATCTGAAAATGAAGTTGCCTAGTCTGCCGAGAAGGCTAGGTAAGTATGCTGCCATCCGACTGTCAGAGTCCTCGATATCCTCAGCCTTGTAGGCCATTTCCATGTCAGGGCGGTCACGAGTTTGCGCAGTGAGGGTGCGCGGTTGATTCAACTTGACAGTTAAAACCCAAATGTGGATAGTTCCCATTTCTCTAACACGCGCCATGTCTGCATTGATCTTGTCATTGTCTGTGTCTTCCACTGAGAGTAGGTTAGTATACAAGTGGAAGTTATTTCGTTCATATACGAACCAGAAACAAAATCCGAGAATACCGGGTAATGGCGCTTCATGATGCCATCATCTGACTTGACGAACGCACAGTCCCAGTTTCGGGTCGAACGGGTCCCGAGAGAGAAACCGGTGCCAAAGATCACCCCGTCAATGTAGATCTGAAAAGCAATTCCGTCGGCCCCAGGAGGCATTTTACTGGTTTCAAAATCATCGCTCAGAGTCGCGCGGACCCAGAATCGACAGCCCGACTTTGACTGGATATAATTGCTGCTGGTAGGAAGCTGAGGGTCTTCCGATCTAACGTGACCGAGTTTTTGCTCGTTCGCTTTGGCGTCCTCCTCGTCAACTTCTCTCTTTTTGTTCTCTTCAAACGGCCATTCCTCAGTGGGAACGCCATTGACGACAATCCTGACATCAATGCCAGGAACGCCGGGGAGAACAGCCATAGAGAAGGGGCATCGGTGAGCGTAAGGATAAGTAGAAGGCAGGACTGATGCAAATGGATGAAGTGAATTTGAGGTGATGAGAGAGGAGAGAAGAGAAATGAAATGGTCAGCCTGGCGAGAAAACTCCTCACTGTTATTGTTGCACAGCGCAAGCTCGTGTCACGCATTACTCATGATAGTTGGTTGAGGCTGTATCGTTATGTGGGGAATCAGAGACATTGCTGCCACAGTCGGTCAGCCATAACAATCCACAGTAAGATGACGCTATACCATCTCAAGACGAGCTGGTCGTCTTATTGAAGGAAGTGTTCTCACTCTACCATCAAAGCAAGATTCTCAAATATATATGACATCTGAGTGAATTTATGAGTGTTTACTTGGAAAACTCCTGGTTTTCTCCTGCCTTGTGAAAAGGGCATGTTCGGCTTCGCTCTGGAGATAGCTGTCGGGTAGTCCAAGGACCGGGACATGAGTAGTAGAGGAGCGACCTTCCTGCAAACCATCAGTTGTGTAAGAATAGCTGTTTACTTTACGCGAAGATTGAGGCAAGATATGCCGAAGATAATTTGGATGAGCTTACGGCGTCTCGAAGAAATACATCTAGCCCAGGACACCTCGTAACATTTCGTCTTTCTATTCCGTGATTGACTGTAGAATCGCAAAATTAGGTGGCTTTGGAATACCTGTACCAGCTGAAACCTCAACACGTAACAGTAACAGTCAAAAGGTATAGTATTATTGTTATTACCAGAGTATACAAGTATAATAGTAGTACAATGAAAGAAATATGAGTAGTAGATATGCGGTGCCGTGGTCCTCAAAGACTCCTTGGCCGCAGTTTTATAGTGGATATTATGAATTGCGACAGAGGGAAGACAAGTAGACGCCACTAGGAAGTTTGTGGACTGCCTAAGAATCACACAGCCCCATCAACCTACAAATGAGTTGGAGATACCGTCCGGCTCCCAGGTCTTTCTTCACGTCTTCTAATCTTTCATGTTATGCCCAGCAGGCTACCCATCGCCAAGCCCCTTCCACTATCGTCAGCAACACCCAGTCGCAACACAGGCTTGGCTCTGTTCTTCTTATCGTAGGTTGTAGTTATCATCCCAGATCACCCTCTGTGCCTCTCCCTATCGAGGGCATCAATCCGCCCTTGAGACGATGTTTGTGATGGTACTCACACGTCTCCCTTAGCAATAATGTCCAACAGTAAGGATGAGTAGAGAGCTAATAATCATAACCACAAGAGTGGTAGCAACACTTATTTCTGGAGGCGCTCTTCCATCATGGGTGTGTTTCTCCGCATGGACCCGTTTCTTTATCTCCCAGATCTCGCTAATGGTAAGTTCAGAGGGCAAGTCTTTTTTCAATTTGGCGGCCAAAGAACCAGTTAAGAACCGCATGTTCGATGGGGACCTCGGCGACTGTTTGTGTGTCTTCTTTGCGGTTTTCTTTCTACTTTTGAAGGTTAGCTGATTGGCTTGAGTGAATGGTACAGTGGTTTTGGTCTTACACGTTCCAGACAATCCTCAATCTCCTGGGCGAGGGACTTTCTTCCAACATTTCGAATTGCTATATCACTATCGACAGACACGGCCGATGAAACCGACTCAGTAGGGGAATGAGGGCCAGGTCCGTTCTCGGCTCCAAAGGTGCTGGAGGGAGCCATGGCAGGACGTATGGACTTGGGGCGGCGAGAGGATGACATCTCCGTTAGAGGAATGCGAGATGAGGTAGATGTGCGTATCTGTAGATATGGTGGCGAAGTCTGAAAGCTGAAAGAAGATCAACCTGAGGAGTTACTGATAGGGTGTAGAAGAAAGAGTTGAGGACAGGTGCCTGAAATAGAGAGGGCTTGATGTTCAGGGCCGCACGTCTGCTCAAGGAACTCATAAAGGATCAATGGTTCTTAGACTATGGCAGCTCGAAAGCTGGATGATACGTATCATATTACCTGTTGTTTGCCACACCGTAAATTCACGGGGCTATGCTTGGTTGGGTAAAGTTAAGCGAGCTGCGTAGTGACAAAGGTTCTAGTACGTGAGCATAATACGTCAGATGTGTACCGGAAATGACTCCGGTGCTTTTTCAGCAGCCACCACCCAGCCCAAGCCTGAACATACTCCCCTGGTCTTTGAATGATTCATCATTTTGGCATGTCCTGAATTTCGCCGTGTATCAGGCTGTCAATTCCCCTGTTCAAATTACCGGACGACTGTAGTGTGGTTGCACGGTTAGCGATGTTGTGACGGTTCCAAGAACCGCGATATCATCAAAGAGACTGAACTAATCTGAAGATAGCGTGTCGAGACACAGTCGCACGTTCTAAAAGGAGACCCATAAAACGAGGTTCTGTGTTTCTCTTGGTTCATTTCTGATTGTGGGGTTGCTAGAATAAGTGTTGGGCTTCTCTAAACATTTTCGCGTGAGTTGGCTCCGCCCCTGCAGCTGTGCCAACCAGTTGTCTAGCTCCATGGCTTAGCAAGCCTCAAACTATCCAGGCTACATTGTCAATGGTGGTGAATGCCTTACCAGTAATATGGTGGTAATCCTCAGAGAAATGTTGAGACCGGTTTACACTGTCCATATTAACCATCGCTGCCATGGCTCTAATGACTGCGACTCTAAGTACGACCCATGCATGTGAGGACTTCTGTCCCACTACCTACTCATGGGTCTTCTCAATCCATGCCTCAATAAGATCGGAGCAAGATCCCAATGGGCGGTAAGAGACTTGCGCTGAAATTTGGGCTTAAATAGAGAAATGGCTTGCGTGCATCCTGAACGGCGCGATTCATCGCATCACGGACCTGTACAACAGCTTACTCTCAGGTATTGGCACTGTGACTCTCTGGAAAGATGATAACGGCTTTACCAGGCTGTTGAAGTCACTTTAGTCGTGGGTCGATTCGAAGCAGTTGAAACTACTCTGGCTTAGTTTAAACTACACTACATAAGTTCGTACTACATAAACTCGGCATAAACATCAGTTTTAATATATAATAAGACGAATTCACCACGTACAGTTATCGATAGGCAGAGTGTATTCGTTCAACTACAATCCGGTGGGGTTGAATCAACTCTCCACAGGATGGTCAGCGTGTAGCTACAATGATACAAGCCACCTTCTTCCATCAACTTGCCCACTCACCACGCCATATAATAAACCGTTGACTCAAGCAATGAGGCCTGTCTTTTTTCTTAATGTCATGTTTGCTATACGCCTTTGTTCTTCATCTGTACCGGTCTGTATAACAGCGCAACCATAGGCGGTTGCTTTATTGTGCGCAAGTCGCAGCAAGCATCAAGGCGGCTGCAACGTGACTTCAGTTGGTTCTTTAACGCATGTTTGCTATTGACAGCGCTTCGCCATTTTCCGCCTCGGATATTCTTCTTCGTTGTCAACATCGTAACCATTTAATGGAGTTCCCTTTGTTCGCAGGCAGCAAACTGTGTCACGTCGCGGTCGCCACCGCAACGGCCTTTGATTTGACCTTCAATCACTTCCTAGATTGCCAAACAGACCGCCATCATAAATTATTGTGATATTATTTAAATCGCTCTTGCGTTCGGAATTATTCTAAACTTACTTCCTATCATTCTTCCATCACCTGAATCTGGGGATCTCAACACACGACTACCAGAGCCTAGTTACTACTTTAACCTTTGACAAAACAGCTTTATCAACGACTCCATAATGTGTAAGTACTAGCATATCTCAAGGGCATGCCACCAGACTAATGTCTTCCAGATTATGTTGCCAAGTCCATCTTCCGCTATGCACTCTATTACCTTGCGCAACCAATACCCTTTTTCTGCGTTGCTCTGACCCTTTTGCTGATTTCTAGTATTCTGAAATCTAAGTTTCCTACTCGTCCCCCTGCGACTACCAAGCAAGATCAGTGGAAGACCGAAAAGCGGATTTTCCACAAATCCGACGGTGTTGCATTTGTCGGCGTCCCCGAGACGTCTGAGCGTTTCTTGGCGGTACTGGACTGGCTGAAGTTCATCTACACTGTTCTCAAAGTCATTGTAAACATTGTATCTTTGGGTGGCATGTTGTATCTGGTAGGATCAGCTACTTTCACTATATGGAAACGGAAGGGAGGGCGTGGAGAACAAACGCTGATGAGACTCTTAGTCTTTCGGCGGCATTTAACCCTTTTCCTACTGTAGATGCCGAAATCCAATAAATACGTATCCCATTGAGGGTATTACTGGAGGTTGCGACCGTTTAGTATGCGACTAATTGACTGTTCTGTCTTACAAGTACTTGACCACGGAATAGCGAAACCAATTTGTTGTAGCTTGAGTTAGGAATTAGGAATACATTAGTGATCGACTTCTTTCAATTCACACTTAAGCATATCATTCAAGCTCTTAAAATGCCGATTGTAGCTGCAAGTATCTACATATGCTCTGATATGACTGCAGACATTGGCTGGCAAGCAATTCCCGTTTACCGGTATACCTCCTCAAGACTGGAATCAACGAAGTGTGGAAAGAACCGAGACACAGACTGACATTGTAATCACTAAAACGGTGAGAAGGATGTTAACCCCGCCGGGATGAATTCCAAACTGAGCATTGCGTCGAAGACTGAAGTTACGCAGTCTGAGATGATTAGAGAAGTGACGTGAGTTAGATGGAGTGACATAAGCAAGGCAACAGCCGTCAGCTGGACATTACCCGAAGGCAACCACGCCAAACAGGACGATATGTTTGCATCTGAAGCGATCCTAGGTGGGACGTGAGACCTGACAATCTGATCTTTTACGCCAAACCGTGATACTTTTGGACTCTTATCGTGGGCTGAGAACATGACAAACGTCTATGTAGAGATGAATAGTTAGCTTTGACTTGTTGTTATCACGAACTTCGTTCCGGTGATGACGGGCTGATGCGTCTATCCTCTCGCGACAATGTAAGCTGCCAAGCTCCATGTGTATATGGAAGTGATTGGTGAGGGGATTTAGGATGTCTTGGGTAAATTTGGCTGCCTAAACTCCATGCAGCTCAGCCGCACGCACACATGTCACTCATCAACAACCCCGCACATGGCTGACTTACCTATATTTACTGTCATCAAAAGATATCTCCTTGATACTACCAAACCATACAATTTTGATCTCTCTTTTGCTCCTTGAATATTATTATCTGATATAATACACCTTTGCGCCAAATTGCCAGCATGCCCGTCACATTCTCCGTCGTCAACCATCTAGCAACCACTTGGACAACATCCAAGGTTGAAACAACAGAAAGCCTCTTGAGGGGAACCTCTCCTCGAGATTACCGCCGCTGCCAACGCATCATCAGAACCTCAGTCACTCCATCCCTTCTGCAAGAGAATCACATCTCCCCATCCAGGAACGGCCTTGTATGGTCTGCGTATCATGCTTATAGCCAGCATCACCACCTAACCATCCGTCCTGAGGACGTCTGGTTCTCCATCTTGACCCAGCTAAGTTTTTTCATCAACGCCAACGCCGAAGAGCTTCGATCCTTTTTCGTCGCTCATGAGGGCAAGAAAGAGCTTACGGTCTTTGAGGCTGCGACCTTGGAGACCGCCAACATCGGGGCTTTGGCTCAACAGCTGGCAGGGCTTGTGAGCAAGAATGTCAAAGACCCTGAACTTGGGGATTGGGTCATGCCTAGCTTCTCGACTACGACCGACACTGACCGAGTGGTTGCTTCTGTTCTGTTCATGGGAGCCATGCAGAAGTACTTTTCCTACGGGATGTGTTTGACTTGTGGAATTCCTTCTGTTACACTCCTGGGCGAGATCTCGGACTGGGAAGCTATCTTGACAAGATTAGATCGCCTTGATCTACTTGGAAAGGAGCCTACAGAGTTCGCTGAGATGCTGAGGCCGATCCTCAAGCACATGATTATATCTTTCGAGAAGCCAGATGATGCGGAGATTAAGCGATTCTGGAACACCATAGCCACGCGAATTCCTGCGGATAGCGGTATCGATTACATCACAGGATGGATCACAGCATTCTGCTTCTGGGATGAAGAAGGAAAGTCGAAATACCGCCACGCCACAGTACTTGGTGAGGTAGCGTACCCATCTGTCGACATCGATAAGGTCCCTCTTGGGGTTGCATCAGTGCCAGTTGAGATCAATGACAACGGGAACATCATCCCCAGCATGATGGTTGCTGGGTCATTTGGAATTCAGGCGACAGCGATGACTCAGGACACTCCGACAGAGAACACGTCTTCGAATGGGGGTAGCTTGAGAACACGACTTGGCAGTCTTGTCGGTTCTCAGCAGGAATCGACCGAAGGTACAGCTTCTGATTCAGAACTCAACGCGATTCAACCCCTCTCAGGCTGGATTATGTATGAGGATGAGTCCAAGGAAGCAATTGCGGCGAGGGAGAAGGAGAGAAAGGCTTCACGTGATAAGCGTGGGTTTGGGATATCGTACTATGACGATGAACTTGGCGAGTATATTTCTTATTAAATGTATTTATAGTTCTCTTTATGTATTAGCTATAATCATTGGACCAGATGAATTTGCTCAAGGTGGAAAGTTACGAAGAATGATGTCACTGGAAGGGGAACTTGAACGGCTGGAGGCATTTTGATGCATGACTATGATTAAGCCAGGACAATGGGCTAACGGAACCTGCGCTTCACGTCTCTTAAGAGTAGTTTATGATCCAGATGCAGTGCAGCGAGCCACACCAATATATAATTCAGAACAAGACGCCAAGTACATAGCCATGATTATGGTTAACCAAGTTGTATGAGTCAGTGCGCTACCGTACGCTCTATACAGTGATTGAAACGTCTAGGATACTCCCATTCATATAAAACTGTTGTGTTATATCCCTCCAGACCTACAATCCCCAGAGCCTTTTGATCAACACGCAACGCGCACTTTCTACAACCACTATCATGAGTGATAATACAGTCACTGAAGAGCTCAAGGCATCCCTGCATGTCTCTCCATGGAGCAACATTGGGCCTTTCCAGAGCAAGGGAGAAGAGTACTTAACCGGATAAACGTCCTCCTACGCATGGTCTTAATCCCACAAAGCCTGGCATAAGCTCTTGGTGGCCATAAGGGTATCGACATGGAGATTTTGCAGTTTGGTACCACCATATCCACGCAAGCAGAAGAGATGAGAGCGATCATCCGGCGAATGAGAACTAACCTTGTTTATATCAACGCCCAGCCGATAAAAAGCCGTCTTGCGCGCCAGTTGGGGAGGCAATTCCAGACCTTTACACAACACGGACCGCGATAGCCTTTGTCACTGAATTTAGTAAATTCAATAATTAGCTGACTACTATGGAGTTTGGTTCCATGGCGTATGAGCAACAGGTTGATCGGTACGCGGAGGAGGTTTACCCTGGGACCCAGCGGCGATTCTAGCTATGGGTTTCGACCCTTTGAGAGAAATGAAACCATGAAAGTCATGGGTGTCGTCACAACAACCATTGCCTCTATTATAGGACATCATACGGTTATAGAGAGATATTAGATATTGTATTTTCTGTTGCCCACGACGCACATTTAAAACTGTGTGATGTTTATCTGGTTCTGGTCTATGGATCTCGGGTACAGTTCTGGAAATGATCAATTGGCCAATGCCGAGCCTAATGAGATTCAGACCTGTCCGTACAGATGGCAAATCCAAGGTGTCATTACCACAAACTTAGCGCAGTGGCTTACAAGACATATTGTCATGGCCGCCTTGTTGGTAGAACAATGTCCAAACGACCACAGGCGACTCTCCAGATGTCTTTCGATTTCTGCTATTACTTTGCATCTCAGTCAGAAGTTCACTTTATCAGTCCATATGCACTTGACGTTTCCCCTCAACTACGAGCAGCAATCCAACTTTACCATGCAGGTTTCAATTGCCTTATGATCTTTAATGTAAAAACAACAACAAGGTATCTCAAGGACAGTAGTTAATCACATACTTGAAGTATTGAGTAACTAGGGGCTTACTATTGGTAACTTCGGTGATCAACTTTAGTTCAAGTCTTGACTATGTATCTGATATATGCCGCAGAGCTACCAAGAACTAATGCTCGCAAAAGTTCCACTAAGCAGCACCTTGATCTTATTATTTGACCTCCATTCATTGGCTGATCTCTCCTCCATAAGCTCGCTGCGGAACTCCTTTGCTATTTCATCATCAGACAGCAGGTCTCCAATTCGTCCTAGCCCTTCCCGTCCACCAATTTCGGCGCTGCGGTAGTACATTTGTCGTAGAGATGATGGAAATCGCAGGGTCCACAAGAAACAAGGCCAGAATCTCTCTATGTCCGGGCTTTGTCGGGTCAGCCAGCTTGAATGAATTGACATGGTGCTGGAAGACATTGGGGAAGAATTGAGCGCGTTTCTCTCTGGTGTGTACACTTCCCACGCTTTGGATCGTGCAGCCACGACCAAGCCATTCAATGCCGAATATGCTAGGTTCTCTCTGCTGGAAT